TTAGAAAGCAATATAAAGGCATTTCAGTTCAGACAATAATGCTGGCTTATCAATTTGTGAGGCTTGATCTTGATGCTCCACTCCACATGTATACTTGCTACATCAACTGCATTTGCCTGAGGTGTATCGCTCCCTGAGCTATGCCCAGTTGTGACATGGCTGAGACCATACACTTGATCCAACTTGCTTGGATGTCAGGGCTAGGTGCACTGCTCTTTTGCTTGTCAGTCATCTTATATTGAAGACCATGATGTGCCTTCAGTAAGCCAGCTTGTCTGTGGTCCACATGTGTGACACATAGAGACCTGAAGAAGAAAGACATTTTGCTTAGCTGTAACTGTAGTTCTGCAGCTGTGCTTTCACACACCCCATGTACTATCCCCACTTCAGCATCAGTATTGATTTTGGTCTTTCCCCCTGAAGCCGTTATGCTGTTAATTGACTTCAGTACCAAGATTTACTTGAGACCGCGTAGGCAGCCTTAGCAAATTGAGGGAAGGGGCAGGAACCTGCTAGGACATGCATATTATGATGGCAGGGGAATGTTCCCACCAAAATTCCTCAGCTATGGCTCATTAATTAATTGCCTTTCTTTATTTCTGTTTTATGTATTGTTTCTTTACACAGTCAGATAAACAACTTCATCGTTATTTTTAAACCTTTCTCTGATTAGATGGTGATTCCATCAGGCTTTCGAGTAGGAATGAAGCTTGAAGCAGTAGACAAAAAGAACCCTACATTCATATGTGTTGCTACGGTAACCGACATAGTGGACAATCGTTTTCTGGTTCATTTTGACAACTGGGATGAGAGCTATGACTATTGGTAAGGCTCTTTAGCAAGAGAGTTTGTATGACAATTAACTTGTGAGGATTTTGAAAATAATTGCCTCTGAAAATAATTCCCAGTGATACTATGAACTTTCATACCTGTTTTTATAAGGATATACTTAGACTTCACTCATGGCTTGAACATTAAATATGGCCATGTGCATGCGCTGCTGCCAACCATTGGGGCTTGAACTGACCTGGTACTTTAGAATCTACTGTTAGGTAGTATATTTAACAGGATCAACCAAAATCTTTTGGAGCTATCAAGTGTCCAGAACTCTTCATCAGGTTATGTTTAGACAAGGTGATATCTGTTCCCTCATTGTTTATCTTTGTTCTATTACAAAAAGAGCATATATAAACATTGCACTTTTAAAATTGGATATATACATTTTAGATTTCTGATGTGTAATCCTAAGAATAATTTAAAATATTAAGTAGTTTGATAGTTTTTCATGATTAAGAGGATAATAAACCATGAAGCTGTTCTCCTCCTTTTTCTAGTGAGAATGCATGCTCTTCTAGGGACAGTAGAGATAGATATGATGGATATTCACGAGTAATGGTGAGGTAGACATTAAGGAGGTGTAGGGACTTTGCTAAGAGAACTGACAAAGTGAAAAAATTGAGAAAAGAGAAAATAAAAGTTGGAACTTAGAGAAAAGAACTTTTTCTGAAGGCATAGGAAAGTTATTTAAAGCTTCTGCTTGGGCCCCTCAGAATAAGCTGCAAAGAAAGGAAGGAAGACAGCCCACATGAGAATAGTTAGAAAGAGCTATGCACACAATAGGGCATGCAAGAACTGACCCCCTCTCCTCCTGTCATCTTCTGGAAATGTTCCACTAAGGGTTGGGGATCCTGCTAACTATGTGGGCCATGGAATGGCGGTGAGGTTCTTGAAAATGGGGTAGAAGCAACACCATCAGGCAATGTCTAGCAACCAAAGGATGTTCCCTTAGAGATTTTGGATCAGCAAATCCTTGCTGAAGTTAGGAGGATGAGTAATGGACCTCCAGAGCCAATGTCTGTATTTAACTTGAGGAAATGTGGAACTCCCAGCTACATGGAAGTAGTTTTGGCAAAGAATTCTGCAATTTAGAAAGAGGGATTAGATATCGATATTGAATGGTATCAGTAATAGCCAAACGATTTGCCAAACCTCACCTCTGTCTGTCACCCTTTTGTGAATAACTCTGGGTCAACAACATCATTTTGTGGAAGCAGGGCTGGGCTCAGTCGTTTTCAGTGCTCTTAAGCAGGCCCGAGAGCAAAGTTTGAGAACCCTGATTTATCCAAAAGTACATTCACACTTGCACACAAACAGTACATGAGTGTTGTGCATCAGTGCTACTACAACTGCTGTAACCATGCATACTGTCCACAAGCTAAAATAAAACACGGGGCCCCCACCTACTCCAGACCTCACTGACTGGCAGTAAAATAATACCTGTTGGTAGTTGGCAGAATTTTGCTGTTCCTGAGTGTGATCTCTTTTTCCCCTCAGTGCTGTATTATTCCAGAGAAGTATGTCTTCAGATTGAATGGATAATGGTTGAGCAAGGAGAGGAAGCTTTTAACCATTTCTTTCTCAGCCACTTCTCTACCCAAAATTCCTCACCCCCTTGCTGAAAAGATGAAGGATGTAAGCTGTGTGTACAGAAACAGCATTGGGGGTTGGGTGGAATTTTTTCTAGGGGAGTGTGTATGCTGGTAAAGGTGGAATAGAACAGTCTGGCTCTGCTTTGCCAGCTTGCTTAGTTTTTGCGCTGACCGTGGAGGAAGTGAAGTCTGGAAACACAATTGATTGGCGAAAAAGATTTATGGATTTTCCCTTTTACCAACCTGCAATACTTTTGGTTCACAAATATTTTTACTAGCATGCATTTTACTCATAGGAAGGATCCTGTCAAGGCACAGAAAATATTTTGCAAGTTAATAACTGTTGGGATCTTAGATTCCAATTTTCTAGCTTTGTTGAACTTAAACCAAAACAGGCTTTTTATCATTTGCCTGCCTGCTGAATGGGTCAATGGGCAGCCCCTCCAAGCCTTTGTAATGGCCTCTTAGAGGGAGTTCATTTGAGTGTATTCATCCTGGTCTTGCATCCTAGGAGAGGCTGCAAAATAATCATACCATTTTCTTTAATGAACACAAACTTTTTATTGAGAGTTTCATATCCAAACACTAGATGGGGCCATAACATGCCTTGTATATTATTAGATTACTATGGTCTTACCAAACAGGAATGAATAAAAATAACTTGGAATATTGGAAAGTTAAGCAGACAACAGTTCCTTGGTTTTGTTTGCTTGTGCACAATTATGACTTTTTAAAACAGAAAGCTATTTTCAAGTTCTAGCATCTCAACCAATCGTTTATTGTTTGTGTATTCATTTGTGTAACTAAGACTAGCAATGAGTGAAGAACTCAGTTTTGAGAGTGGGAATCTGGACTTTCTTCAGTTTAGTTGCTCACACTCCAGCTTTCTCTCTCTTTCTCTCTGCCTCAGTCCAACTCTGTGAGGGCAGCCAGCAAGAAGCAATCCAAGCAAGGCCAGCAACCTGCAACCTGCTTGCCAGCTTTGTGAGCGGAGTTCTGCTTCCACACATGTGACCTGCAGGCTTTACATACCTTGCACAAAGAATTACAATTACATACTTTGCATGAAGGAGCTGCTAGCATTTCCAAGTGTTCAGCTCGCTTCCTGGCCAGGGCTGAGTGAGGGAAAGAAGTCTGGCAAGCTCAAGACACTCAGATTCTGGCCTGATCTTTGCATATCTTATCTAGACTCTTGGTAACATATATGTATTTACCAAGGAAGCAGCTGCCAGATAATTCTGATGAGAAGTTTATGAATATGTATATATTATTTTGTAATTTTCAAACTGCATTATGTAGAATAGTCCCATTAACATTTTTAGGAATGTTTTGGGTTGGAAAGGAAGCTGTACTGTTATTGAAGGAGGATATCTAAAATACAGTTAACAGAAAAATTAATAGCAATGAAATCTAAGCTTGTAAATATCTATTCAAATGTTCATCTGCAAACATGACTGTAAACAGTGTCTAGGGAATCACAATTTTCCCCATTTTTTTTCTCTGGAACCATTTATTATTGCCCTAGCCTTATGGAAGCAAGTGGTCTGGTTATAGCTTTTATATACAGACTTGTCTTAAGGCTTCAGCCAATTGCAAATGAAAGGAGTGGAGCCGGACAGACACACTTCTGAGTAATATTGTGAAGGATTCAACATAGATTTTCCCTTTCCATCCTTTTCTCTTTCTCATCAGAGATAGATCAATTAATAGGAGTAATTTTCTTAGCCTTCAAAATTACCTCACTCAGTTGTTGACAATTTTCTCCTACAGAATGTTGAAGGAGACATTGGAGTTTCCCTCAAAACACTGGATTGCAGGCAGCATTCTTGCTTCAGAGTGAAAGTGCATAAGTAATTTTCATGAAAATATAAAAAGCAAGATAAAGTGCATTGCAGAAAGTAGAAGATGATGGAGAAGATCAAATATGAAGTTGGATCAGTTCCACAAAGGAACTCACAGCCTTGAACTGAACAGGGCTGCCAAGGACAGAACAGTTTGGATTTACAGAATAAATGAAAATTTATTCATAGGTTCTCCATAATTTGGATATGGTTTGACAGCATGTAACAACCACCACCACCACCCTGATGGATGCTTCTGCATAACTTTATCTTGGAATACTTTTAATAGGTCCTTGGTCTTCATGATTCAGTTTGTTTAGATATGTTCTCCAACGATCTGTGGGGACTCTTTGCACGTTCACAGTGTTGAATAGCTTATGTAGGTTAAGTGGTAACCATATGAATTAAATCCACTTCAGTTCCAGATTATAACACAGCAAAATGTAGAAAAATCAAAGGTCAGTAAATATTTCTGAAGGATACTATATGGTATGCCAAACCACAGCTTGGAGCAGAAAGTACAAATACAGCAATTTTCAGCATTTTTTAACATCCTGTATCTATGGCAATTTTTATTGCATTGCTTTGACATTTTGTAGAATTGCAGACTTTAGGTAGATCATGGATGCCATGTTTCACATTATTAGCCAAACAAATGTCATTTTTATAAGCAATAGAATTTTGAAACTTAAAATGACAGAACTTTTTTTAAATTGAAGGAGAACACTTTGCCTCTTTAACTGGGACAAAGGCAGTCTAGTCACCGCTTGGATATGGAGTCAGCTGGGTGACTTTGGGCCAGTCACAAACTCTCATCCCAACCTACCTCATAGGGTTGTTGTTGTGGGGATAAAATTGAGAGCCGGAGAAGGAGAATTATGTAGGCTGCTTTGAATTTCCTGTAGTAAGGAAAAAGTGTGATATAAATCAAATAAATCAAATAAATAAATCAGTATTTTCCCCTTAGGTGTGAAGCATCTAGTCCATATATTCATCCAGTTGGATGGTGTAAAGAACACAGAAGGACACTTGTAACTCCTCCAGGTTTGTATGAAACCGTACATATGTAAACAACTGTTTCCCGAGACTAAAAACTACAGTGGTTTGTCAGCTCACGAACGCCTTAGTTCACAACCAAATCGGGTTGCGAACAGAAATTTCAGAAAAATTTTGCCTCAGGTCGTGAACTCCTTATCGGGTGACAATTGCAATTGCACCCGTCTTCCCCGGGTGCTCGTGAAAGGAAGACAGGCACGATCGTGGTCATGCTCGGGGGTGGGGTAGATGGCTGCAGTCGTGCTCAGGAAGGGGAGATGGCCGTGATCACACCCGTCTTCCCTGCCTGAGTGCGACCACGATTGCTCCCATCTTCCCTGCCCGAGTGCAACCACGAGTGTGCCTGTCTATGGCCGTGATCTCAGTCACACTTGTGCAGGGAAGACGGTCATGATTGTGGTCGTGCTCAGGAAGGGGAGATGGCCGTGATCACACCCGTCTTCCCTGCCTGAGTGCGACCACGATTGCTCCCATCTTCCCTGCCCGAGTGCAACCACGAGTGTGCCTGTCTATGGCCGTGATCTCAGTCACACTTGTGCAGGGAAGACGGTCATGATTGTGGTCGTGCTTGGGGAGGGGGGGAGATGGCTGTGATCTTTGTTGTTCTTTGTTACTTTGTTGTTTGTCCCTTTTTTTCCCAAATTTTTGTGATTAAAAATGGTTACAGAATGGATTAACCTTATTTACATTGAACCTTATGGGGAAATTTGACTTGGCTCATGACCATTTTGGGTCACAAACAGAGTTATGGAACAGTTTAAGCTCATGAGCCAAGGCACCACTGTATTATGTTATCAGGGGTAAAGGTCAACTCTTATTTTGAGAGTGAATTTGTGAAGCTGTTAGTAGAAGTGATCCAACCACAATTTATTCTTGGATTTTATGTTATCAAATGACTAGATTCCTGTTAATCCTGAAGATAGTTACAATTGTTCAGTAGAAAGGGGCTTGTTTTTACTGTTTACTGAAGTTAACTGATTGAGGTCATATGAACAAAGTTGTTGAATAAAGTTACAAGGTTCTTCGTGATCTCTGTGCATCACACATATGGACTAAATGCCTATGTGGAGCCTGTTGTTGGAAAGATTCTACAGCTAAGTGTTAGTTTGGGTGGGAACCCCCCTTCCTCTTCTCAGCATTGATGGGCAGGGGGCTTCCACCCATAACCTCAGTTTCATTTCAACTGCCTCCATGCCTAGATTAGGAAGTGCTTCTCTTCTTAGCTTGTGTAATTTTTCAGCCTTTATTTGCTTTTTTTTCTTTACACCACTTTCTATTCCCTACTCAGCCACCATCTACTCCATGACATTTGTTATCATTCTTCACTTGAAAAATCCAACTCCCCCTTTCCTACCTACTTTCTCTCTTATCTTTTGCATGCTTCTACCCATTCTTTCTCCATTCTCTGCTCTCTGCCTTCGCCATCTGCTGTGATGGCATCACAGGCACCCTTTAGAAAGTATGGTCATTGTACAAGTAAGTTTGCAAGAAAAAAGATTGCCACTGCCACCAAGTGGAAGTGCAGATGCCATGAGAACCCTCATCTGCCATTGACACAGGAATCTGGTCAGTCCAAATGGCACTCAGACCTGAAAGACAGTTTGATCCCAAGAGGAAGCTCCCAGCTACCATCAACATCAAGGAATTGATCAGTCCCAAGAGCACTCAGACCCAATAGATAGTTCGATCTTAAGAAGGAGCCCCCATTTATCATAACCACGAAGGACCAGGTCAGTCTCAGCAGAGCACTCAGACCCAAGTTAGTTTGTCCCAAGAGGGATCCCCTGCCTACCATTGACACCAAGGAACCATTCAATCCTGGATGGCTGAATCCACTGAACTGATATAGGAACTTTTGTAGGGACCAGTGTAACAGCAATCTTACTTTGCCAAGATGGAGGCCCTGTCAGCCTTTGACACTGAGAGCCTCTCGGCACCAAAAGACTCCAGTACTGTGACAGGGCCTTCATTTGATCCTAAGAGCTCTTGAACCTATAAGATCATCCATTCTTCTTTGTGGGTGAACCTATGCATGAACCAATGTAGTGTCTGTGTAGGAACCAATGCAGAAAACAGGAATGACAGGCATACTGTAACAAGATAGAGGCCCTGTCAACCTTTGACACAAGGGCCTCAGTTCCAAGACTGGTCAATAATGGGACAGAGGTCCAGTCAGCCTTCAGTACAGAGGGCTGTTCAATCCTGAGAGATTGTTCAATACCACAAAAGAGCCTCTGATGACCATTGAAACCAGAGTACTTGGTTCCAAGAAACTATTGAGATACCAAGGCAGAGGCCCCGTCAGCCTCCAGCACCAAGGGACACTTGGACTCAAGGGACTGCTAAGTTCTGAGGCAGAAGCCCAGTCAACCTTTGACACAAGGGCTATTTGGTGCTGACTGACTTAACAGAGAGAGAGAGAGAGACCCTGTTGACCATCAACACAGAAGGGGTTTTGATATCAAGAGACCATTCAGTAATAAGAAAATGCTTGTATCCAAGAGAACATTCAACCCAAGAAGGAACTGCTGTCTAGCACTGATACTAAGACCTGGTTGGCGCCTCTATGAGGACATGGTACCAGCCAGACAACACTGATGGCAGTCTTTGCTGTCTCCTTGGGTACAATGCTCCTGCTTTGGTCCTGAGACCTATAGGTGGTCTCAGTGGAACTGAAGGAATGGGAGGGAGCCCATCCCATTGATCCAGAGGGGCTCCTGCCCAAAATAATGCTTAGCTGTAGAATCTTCCCAACAACAGGCTCCATGCAGGAGCAGAGCCCATATGTGTGAATGCACAGATGACCACTCGAAGAATGACACAGGTAAGTGACCTGGCTTTACAATGCCCGAACAAATCCTTACAGAAAACTAATAACTAGCATATGAGAATTAGTAAACTGAATGATGATGAATACTTTGTGACTATGAAATTAGAGCATACAAATCTACTAATAAGACAACCTTTTGCATGTACTATAAATATTTAACCTGTCAGTGAGTTAATTGTAGCTTTTGAGTAGCAAACTCTGTAAAATAGCCTACACAGAGCAATGGTGTAATTCACTACCATATTATGAGTCACTTGAAAAGGTAATGCTTTGAAAACTTACCTTTTAACAGTAGACATTTATACATGCAGAATGCTTTAACTGGATTTCCCACAGGGACAATATTTTAGTTCATAGTAGGAATATTGTTTAATGTACCTTCACTGAGAGATTACTAGTGGGTGGGGGCTAATCTGTTTTTTAAATGGATGCATAAGTCTTATAAGTTCAAATTAGCACATGATTCAGTAAAATGTTAACTGAAATGCAGTGTTCCAGTTCCTGTTGTCCAAAGCCACAGAAGAATTTTTGTGATTTTTCTATTCATTAAGTATTATAAAATGGATTCAGTCTGCTTACAATTGATATTTTATAAGTAGATTATAAGTAGATAAGTAGATCAAATAGGATATTTTGTTCAGTATGTACCTGTGATGAAGCCCCAATTCTTGGTAAGCATTGCCTAAACTACTTTGCTGTCAAAGTAGTACTAGTAGGGCTAGAAGGATTAAGAGATTTGAGGAGGCCATGAAAGAAGGACTAGTGGAAAGATGGCTTGAGGAAAAGCACAGAAGAAAAATGAAGTCTGTGGGAAGTGATGAAGATTTGGAAGTGATGCAGATGCATATTTAGATGTGAGGCAAGTTAGCTGCTCCCAATCAATGCGAGGAATGCTAGGCTAAATGGACCAATAGTCTGACATGACACAAAGTGATTTCTTATGTTACGTACTATGCAGAAATGAAGCAGTATTAGGGAATGGAAAGGAAGTGTAAGTTGTAAAAAATGCAGGCTCAGAGGAATATACAGATATGAAGGTATGATATGAAGGAAGATAGAAAATGGATTAGGGAATAGTATTGGGGAGATAAAGGAAAATGAATGGCATTAAGATAGTAGATAACATTGGAAGAAGTCAGCAGGGCAAGGCGAAGTGAGCTTAGAGAATTTGCAGAAAGAAAGATGCATGTAGAGGGGACCATTGGAGGTAAAGATGAAAGATTCATTTTCTTGTATTGTTTTATAAACAACCAAATATTTGGCTGTAGGCCTCTGCTCGACCTCTACTGGGAAATGGTAAAACCTTTCTAAAGCTTTGTATGTCTAGAAGTTTCTTTGATGAATTTCAACGATCAACTATTTTCTTGCAAAATGCACAAGCACAAAAGTGAACTTTGTTCTTTGAGAATAGGTCAGAGTAGGAAAAGTGAGAAAAAACAGGAAACATGCTTTTTCTCACAGTGATACTTGAAAATCTCAGTAACACGTCTTAGAAAAGGCCCATTACTCATATTACACTGCATGCTGACGTGTGGGGGAGTGCAAGACAGAGTTATTTTTCACTTCTTTGACCTTGACCTGCTTTGAAAAGTACCCTAAATATATTCATTCTGTGACATAATTATATCTTATATCATGATTTATTTACTAGGCTATCCACATGCCAAGCATTTTACTTGGGAGAAGTATTTGGAAGAAACCAATTCTTTACCGGCACCTGCCAGGGCTTTTAAAGTGGTAAGAAATAGATCAGTTGATGTTATATAAATTCTGCTCATTAGCTCACTGCTGCCCTTGTGATAAATATTCACATTTGTCCATGTGATATTGATACTGATGGTTGTTAGTTGGCCAGCACTGCATTTATTGTGATATTTATAGACCCATACTTCAAATATATTTTCATGGTATTTATCTTAAATAAGATCCTTCAGTTCAATGCAACAGAAACATACCTGACTATGTAAAAGTTGGGAGGTAAATTTGTATGCATGCCCTTTTCTCTTTCCCTTTTTTAATTTAATTGTGTTTTCATGAAAGGAGAAGGGTGGAGTACAGTAGTTAAACTTGAATTATTTTTCTCTCTTCTCCTTTTTCACTAATCTCCCTTCCTTTCCCCTTTCTGGCCTGTACAGGGGAAAAAGAGGCTAAATAAGGCAACACTGATAGTTGACTAATAGAACATAAATAAAAGCCTTGCTGGATCACACCCGAGGTCCTTCTAGCCTGGCATTTACTTTTTGATATTGGCCAGCAGGTTGCTTCTGGGATGTTCACAAGCAAGCTATTATGACTGGGATGGGCAGTATCTGGTCATCAGCAGCTCCTATCATCATTGCCTGTGCTATTGATGATGAATGATAATCCAACAATGTACAATTCCCACCTCTGCATTAAGGCAACTCCTTCCCATGCTGTTTATTTCAACTGTGTTCATAGATGACTGCCTCTAAACCATCTAGCTATCATGGCTAACAGTCTTTGACAAATATTTCTTCCCTCTTTTGTCTAATCCTTTTTTAAAAGTGTGTATAAGTTCTAAAAGTAATGGGCCACTGCATCCAGTTCTGAGTTCAGCGCTTCAGGAAGCATATGGAATGGACTTAGAAGAGAGCAAGAAAGATGGTCTCGTCATTGGAAAAAACAGTTTCGATATGGAAAGCTTGAAGTAACTGTGTATGGTTAGCATTGAGAAGAGATGATAGTGGAAGGAAATTATAGCAGTATTCATATATCTGAAGAGCTGTCACATAGAAGAGAGCAAAGACTTGTCTCTCCCATTGCAGAGGACTGTGCTAAATATAGTGGAAGTTACAAGAAGATAGATTTTGGTTGAGCATCAGGAAAAACTTCTTGCTGAAACTAGTTCAGCTATGAAACCAATTCCCTTCCTTTCCTGAAGGTGTTCAAGCACAGGCTGGAAAGCCATGTGTTGAAAACACTTTGCTCTGGATTTTCTGCATTGAACAGGTAATCATAATCAAGAGATGGCCCACAAAGCCCCTTTAATGCTAGAAGCTTGTGGCCATCACTAAACAGTAGGAATGAGTTCCATGAAGAACTGCATGTTGCATAAACATGTGCTTCCTTAGCGCTATTCTGAACTTTTTGCCAAATCTTTCATTGAGTCGATCCACAAAGTCAGCAGGTGGTTGACAAGTCATAGTGACCAGCGCTGCTACATTAGCAGGTGACTAGAGTCCTAAGGGTCCCCTCACTTCTGCTATCTTGAGAATGTGCATAACAATCTGAAAAACCAAGATTTTCCAGGTTTTTAAATACTAATGTTATTTTTATACTGAATTTTCTTTTTATTTTAACCTTTTTTATTAAAAAGCAGGGGTATAAACTGCAGGGGTATAAACTGCAACTAAAATAATTTTTCTCTCTTGCAGAAACCTCCTCATGGATTTCAGAAGAATATGAGACTAGAAGTAGTTGACAAGAGGAATCCTGTGCTTATCAGAGTAGCCACCGTTGTAGATACTGATGACCACAGAATTAAAGTAATTCATATTCTGTCGTCATTTCTTTCAATTTTTTAAAACAGAAATCTGTGGTGTAGTTGTTAACAGCACAGGACTGGGACTCAGGAGATGTGGGTTCTCATCCCTATTTGACTGTGAAGATAACTGGGTGACTTTGGGCCAGTCACAAATTCTTAGCCCAACCTTCCTCCCAATATTGTTGTTGTAAGGATAAGAGTGTGAAAAGGAGGAGTATTATGTATGCCACCTTGATTTACTAGAATGGAAAAAGGCAGAATAGGTAGATAAACAGGTAATACACAGTATCCAGCAGAGCTTACATTTGATATCTAGTGTTGCTTCTTCATTCACTTCAGTAGAAAGGAGGAAAGCTTCCTTTCATTTTAAATGAATGGAGATGCCTTAACAATACAGTTGATGATCAAATATGGGGCTTTAGATTAGGGTGAACTGGCATCCTGTGCAGCCTCCACATATTCTAGTACCAGTTGCATTTGTAAGAGAAATCCAGCTGGAGTGTAGCACCTGATTGATTATGCCAAAAGAATGTTTAAATGAAGATAAGCATTTCTAAGTGTGGTCCCAGCTTCCTTACATAGAAAAATAAATGCTAGTGCTTTGAAATGGACTCACATTCATTTTTTCTTAGACACAAATACTGAAATTGAAGCTCACATTTTAAAAAATACTTTCTGGATACACTTCTTTGGATTGAGTGTAAGTTTCTTTACTCAGTCGCTAATGCTCATCCAACACATAGCAGGAAGAGTAGAGCAAGTATTCTTGCCTCTCTGCTTTTCCCGTGCTGCATGTTTTCTCGATGGATGTTCCTGGCTGTCCAACGGGGATGAAAACTTCAGAGTCTTCAGAATACTTAGTACTCTGATTATGGCACAGACTGGATGAGGAGCTCACCAACTAGGGGTCCACACATGGATCACATATGGTTTGTGGAGCACAGGTTGTGCTGTGTAATTTAAGACTTGCAGGGCTAAGCAGGATTTTAGTAAATGCAACCAAATTTTTAATTCTTCAAATTGCTTTTTATGTTGCCTTCTAAATACATTTTAGTACTTGATGATGCAATGATGTAAACATGGTGATAAGGCCTGCATAATTTGTAACATATGAAGCCAAATAATGTCATATGCTGCCTCATCAGGTACTCAATTAATGAGCTATTTTTGCTGGGTGCCTGGGCAAAAGACATTTATTATGTTTATAGCTCACTTTTTCCTGTAAGGAACCCAAGGCACCTTCCAGAATCCCCTGTCTCTTCATTTCATCCTCACAGTCTGGTGAGGTAGGTCAGGCTGAGAGTCTGTGGCAGGCCCAGTGAGCTTTGTGGAGACTAGAACTTGGATCTTCTGTCAGGCAGTTTGGCCTGTCATAGTGTATGGCTGGACAGCTGTTTTCAGTAAAGACTTGTATTTAGGGCTGTTTCTGTATTCAAGAAGTGCTTAAACTCATGCATCAAGACCTTAATGAACCAGTTGTCATTAGTATAATTGTGTAATCCTTATATCAGTAAAGTAAATGTAAAAGCTGCTGTAATTAACACAAATGGGAGCCTGGAAGCTAATTTTGTATCATTTGGCATTTATATTTTCCCTGACATAATGCCTGTAATTTAAATAAATGGGCTCTCTAACTATTGTGTTTGGTAACAAAAGGCTAGCACTGTTAGAGATTATAGAGAAACAGGACTTTGCTTTTGTCTAACTTTTCCCCCCTACTTTTGCATTTTAGGTCCACTTTGATGGCTGGGATAGTATTTATGATTATTGGATTGATGCAGATAGCCCTGACATCCATCCTGCAGGCTGGTGTGGGAAAACTGGACATCCTCTTCAGCCTCCTCTTAGTAAGATGCACTATAGGATTATGAAAAATTAAGATAGGATGGTACAAAATCACTTATAAGTAGTTTGAACTGTGAGTGTTCTTGTTGTCATGCTTCAAGGGCATATTTGCACACTTGCCTTTTTTGTACTAATAGAGGAGTTTAAGTTTCAAGAACAAAAAGGAATAATAAATGCCAGCCCATGAAAGTAATTCTATCTAGATTTCAGAATTCTAGAATATTTTTTGCATGGAATCAGATAAGTTATTGTAGTATGATCAGTTCGAACTTAAATTTATCCATGCTAAAGAATAATCCACTTGTCAGAATTTAGCTAAAGAAATAATAAATTAGTTGCAGTCAAATCAGCAAGGCTGAAGTATTTTACCTTGGTAACTTGTACAGTTAAGCTTCAGCATTTAAAAGTGACTTATAGGGGGTCTGATGTTAACATTCTTCTGTTCTTATGAATGTAAAAATAGTTTGGATTTACTTCTCACAATATTTGTACAGGTCCCTTAGAGTTAGTGGAAGCTTTAGAACAAGGTGGATGTCCTACAGCAGGCTGCAAAGGAATTGGACACATAAAAAGAGCCAGGCATATGGGCCATCACAGGTACGCTTTCTCATGTGCTGTTGCTTCAGTAAGTTATATACAGATAACTAGTTAGAATGCTGCCTGAACTTAATTGCACTGTGTGAGACAAAAAATGAACTCGCAGAAAGCAAGAAAACAAGCAATTACTTATGTAGGTTGCCAGGATAAGCATTTTGAAATGAATGTCAGCTATCTTGGGATGTTTATGTTTAAAGCTAAGTTGCAGGATATCAGTTTAGGTGGTGCATTTTTTTTCAAGCTGGCTCTCCACTTGTCTTTACAGGGCTACTCTCAGACATTTGCTCATTTGGTGAGCATAGCAGAGGAATTTCAAATCCATGTGTATAAGTGTGTTCAAGATGCTTTTTTCAACTATCCATGAGACTGGTGCTGAAATGACAGTGGCCCGGTGTGGAGTCATGTCAGTTCATGAGTTGTTTAGCTCATTGATTAGCATGGGGCTGCTTCATAGTGAGTGACTGCTGCTTCCCACATGCTCACTGTTTCTGCTTTGCAGCTACTCTGAGCATCAGTTCAGAAAAGCCACATTCCTATGTTGTTTGATGTAAAATACAAACCCAGGTGTCTGGGTTGTTGAGGCACAAACAGCCCATAGTTTTAGCTTAACAACAAATCTTGGATTCTCTGTTGGAACTAGCTTAAAACATATAACTGCTCCCTCTCTTGAAAAACAAGGTTATTGATTTTTGTGCCACTATTACAGATACAGATTGCCTATAGAAAATGCAAAATGTTTTCTATTTGTCAGACACTAAATTGCTCCCAGCTAACCCATCTTGTAATTCGATGATGTTTGTGGATTTATTTGCTAGGCTTATTTAATCTGATTCTTGTCACTTACTATGTCGCATGACCATAAACATTTTACTCATGGGTTAGTTGAAGAAGGAAAACATCAATATATGAGTACATAAGGAACCACATTTATGACTATATTGTGTGAATACCAATTTCTGGGGAATTCAAGAAAGAGGTTATTATTGTGCTTAAGTCCTTCTGGCAGGCTCCCTAGAAAAATCTGGTGGGCCTTTTGTGTGGTGTATGGCTCTGATTATGCTCTTCATTAAAAGAGGAGTACAAGGTCATTTAAATAGAAGAGAAACACAATTGTAATTTCCTTGTGTTGGCTGCTGTTATACACTCAGCCTTTGGTTAGAATTCAAATTCAGTTGGGGTTTAAAAGCAATGGGACATTTAAGTTAAATAGTGCTTTAGGGTGGGGGGAAGGTAATTAGATACCTTCTGCAAAAAGAAAAAGAAACATATCAGAATTCAAAAAGGTTGCAAATATAACTCACCCTAGACCTTCCAAATTGTGCCCCCACCTCATTTTGAATTAACTGGGACAATATAAATGGATAAAATTATCCATGACAGTCTTGAATCCATTGGTTATGCCATCTCAGCTGAACTGTACTTAGCTATGCTTTTAAAATTTTTCATGACAAGGTGTATTTATGTTGTCAGAGTAAATGTCTGAGAATAGATAGGCTGGTCATTTTCTGATAGCATATTGTTTGAGCTGGCTGAATACCTATGGTGATTAATTATGACAGGGCTAAAGTGGGCATCCTTTAAACTGTAAATTTTAACAAGGACTGCAGGTTTTTTGAATGGAAGAAAGGTGCTTAGACTTGCATACAAATATGTTCCTCAATATATTATATTTTCATTTGAAAAATTGTATATGGTGTATCATACAAAGTGGATTTTCCAACCGTTTTGTAACTTAAACATCCCACTTATCAATCTTACCAAGTGACGTATTCTAGTATTGTTCTGTACTATGTTTTTGTGTGATATCTCACACAGAATGGCATTAAAGCCTAAAATCTTCTTTGTGATCTCTGTGCATCACACATATGGGCTCTATACCCTCCCCCTGGTATACCTAGGATGAGCTCCCAGCATGCCTCAGGACTTTGTTTTCCTTTCTCTTGTGTTTTCCTTACAGTTTCTTTGACATCTGCTATGTTCTTTTTCTCAACCTTTTCTCTTGCTAACTGTCTTGTGTTTTCAGAAAACCTTGTTTTATGCCTAGTCCCCCCCCCACACACCCCCATTGTCATTCTCCTTTGGGCTATCCCTTTTTCTACTTCATTTTTTCCTCTTTCCCAATGGCATTCAAAGCACCTTTTCAGAAGTGCATCCGCTGTGGGAGCACGCTACCTCTCACCAACAGGCACTCACTGTACCTCTTCTGCTTTGGTGAAGAACACTGCATAAATGCCTGCCTGAAGCTGTCCTACCCGGAAAACAGGGCAGGACAGCTCCAGGCCAAGCTTTGGAGCTGTGTTCTTACGGCTGTTGACTCAGCCATGGCTGCAGTGCCTCGGTGCCCATCTATCTGACAGTTGTTCCTTCTTCCTGCCCACCGCTGGCAGCTGCTGGTGCTTCATCAACTATTCCATTCATGCTGTTCATGCCTGGGTGTGTGGATGAGGCCAGCTGGGCAAGAAAACTGGCCAGGAAGACCAAAAAGATGGTGGAAGTGCAGAAGGTCGAACACAAGCAGCCTAGACACTGTTCTCCACCAGTGTCATCTGCACCTGCACCAACACTGGTCTCGGGGTGCAGTTCTTCCGTGAAGGAGGAGATCTAGGATTTGCCACCCTGCACCTCAGCTCGCATTCTTGAATTAAAAAATCATATTGTGAATGATTCCTGCTTTCATAATTGCAGGAAGGTATGCTAATTTGTGCATAACTTCTATATAAAGCCTCACACAAAGTAAGAAGAGCACTCATGGATCATTCCTGCACAACTTTTTCTCCTACTCTGTATTAGGCCTGAACCTACATTTTCTTTTTCCAAACCTCTGGGTATTGCATCTCTGTGCCCTTCATTAGCAACTTGTTTATTTTTGTAAACATTTCTGAACATTCAAATAAATTTCCTTTTGAGAAATTAAGCCCAAGTTGGTGATGGTATATTGGTACACAAGTTATTAATGCTGTTCTAAAAGGTAAATTCCCTCTCATATACACTTGCATTTTTCTAATTTATTTTAGAAGGTTCAGTTACTCTGTATAACGATCTCTTATTTTTCTATTCCATTTGTATTACTTTTATTCTATGACACTTGTATTGTAAAAGTGGATATTTGTTTATGTACTCTATAGCAAAGCTCACAAAACAGAGCAGATTACACAAATCCTCTGCTTCTGTTGCTTTGTAGTACAGTGAAGCCAATGGGATAGCTCTGTGAGGTTTATTTATGCTGTTAGACGTATTCCTGATTTGTCTATTACTTACTTAAAATTGAAGCTCAAAAACCTTCAAAATCTCTTTTTAAGAAAGATGTTAAATGAATTCTATTCCTCATAAAGTCCTATTTTTCACATATATGTGCTATTGTGAAGGATCCCATTGCGTTCCAGGGTCACATCCCAGTGTAAGGCATAGTGTTTATAGATGGCTTCGATGCTTTGTGGATTGAGAACATTTTTGCTTGACTTAAAACTGAGAGTTTCTGAGGATGTGGCAGCATTGTATTAGCCCCATACATTTCACCCTCCTCCTCTTTGTGTGCAGATTCTGTCCTCCTTATCCATGTTATTGATAGTTTGCCATGACACCCAAATTGGGCAACTTCTGAGCTGAGGTTTTTCAAATCTATTTCAAATCATGGTTTGGTGGGAGAGATAATTATAGCTCAGCTGTCATAGTTACAGGAACCTCGAAATGGAGGGAAGGATCACTTCACAAAAGGAAAGAAGGAGCATACAAGCCTGCCTTAATAAACCATGTTTTGATGAGTCATCTAAACAGCTTGTTATTGTTCATGTACAAGTCCTTCCTTACTGTGCTGTATTTAGGACATACAGTTCAGAAATGGATAAGAAGATATTTTGTCTTCAATTCTGAGAAAAGTTGCTGCCATGTTAAATCTTTCTACATCTTCCTGAAACAGTTTTATTGTGTGCCATTTCCAAAATTATTAATCTAAATTTTGTAGCATTATAACAATAGCCTTATCGTAAGCATGGTAAATATAAAGTATTAACTCACATTATTACCTCATCCCAAAACTGGAAACAGCACTTATATATTAAACTGTGGATTTACTCATCAGTTTGATCTCACCACAGAACTGTGGTTATCATTCTTTCTTTAGTTATCTGTTTGTTTGTTTGTTTGTTTGCTTGCTTGTTTTCAGGATTAGGGCTTCTGTTTTCACTAACAACATTGAACATATATGATATTTCTGTTTGCTTTTCCCCCTTTCATAATCAGTACCTAAAACTGGCTTAACAAAAAATCCTTCCACTTACTTGAAATCCTTCTAATATTCATGAAGATTAGGGGCCTGTGTTTAATTTAAAGAATTGGGGAGTGGAGTCTTTTAGTTCAGATACACTTGGTTAAAATAGAGTTTTCTTGTAGTGCCTTCTTTATTACTGACTAGTCCCTGTATAGCTTTTGGAAATCAAATTTCTGCTTGTTTTAAATCAAAGCAATCAAACGAAAGTAGGAACGATGCATCATCATCATTACATTGCATTTATATCCAGGCTTTCTTCCTCTTGCAAGGAATCAGGGCAGCTTACAAGCATTCTTATATTTCCAACTTTGTTGCTTGTATTTTAAATACAATGGGGAAAATCCAATTAAGTGTAAACTGACTTCTGTTCATACAGCAGACATTCTATTACTTTCATCCTATCCGCATTCTCTTCACCAAAATCTGGTCTAGAGAATCCTGCAGCTCTCCTGATCAGAGCGCACAGGGGACTGCAAGGAAAGGAGGAATTGTTTCCTTCCCCCTTCCACTGATGGAAGCCATGCTGTTGCTGGGAGGAGTTAATGGGTTACTACCAAGTGGCTGTAATCCTTAAAAAAAAAAAAAATGCACCTCTTTCAGGGATTCAAAAAAGGTGATGAGCTTGTGCATCCCAGAAGGCATCTATCCATGTCTCATGGGAGACTGCTTTTGAAAATAACATGAGAGAAAAAGCAAAATTGTTAAGAGAAAAAAGTATAAAAAAAATCCTACTGTGTATGCCTAAATCTTCATATGTGTCCAAAGAAGATATTTGGCTCTTGGCTGATTGGCGTGTGCCTGCATGCATGCATGTGCCTATGAGGGAATCCTTTCTTGCCCACCTGAACTCAGGTCTTTGCAAATACCAATAAGAAATAACAAAGAAGAAGAAGAAATAAGTTAGTCTGAAGAGGACAACAGAGATAGAAAAGGGCTGGAGATAAAGCAAGAACAATAACAACTATTAGCAATCGATGTGTTTCAGTTCTAATACAAATCAAAAACCTTAGCAAGGAAAAGAGTCAATTTCAGTAATATATTGCCTATTGTAAGGCACATTTTTCACACATGGACATTTAATATTGAAGTGTTGACATCTTTGCTACCACCATTGAAGCACATTGAAATGGTAAAATAACTTATTTGGAAAGCTCTTGTAACAATGGAGTTTTACCTAAACCCGAATGATTAAAGGAAGGTGATATAGGTGATGATAGATTCATAGGACAGCTTCTTTGGATGTTCAGCTTCTTGGTCCAAACCTGAGAAGACATAGCATTCTGGTCTATTCAAGAAAATGAGCTAAAGATTATACAAAGTAGAGTTGGATTGCTCTTGCCATTACAAGAAAGATTTTTTTTCTTTATGTCTGTAATTACATGGTAGCTATGCAGATTGCTTGCATTTTATTTGGGTTTGGCTCTCAGGGAGACATTAGTGATATTAAAAGCAATCATGTCACAATGAGTGATAAATGTGGCATGGTATATGGAAAGATATTCTTTTCTTGGGAAAAGAAACAGCAGGTACAATGTGTGAAGTTCATTTTTCTTTTATTATACAAAGACAGACTTTTTGGGAAAAAATAGATTAACCGAAAAGAAAAGAGTAATTCTGTCTCACAGCAGGTGTTTCTGCTTATTGACAAGAAAAGGAAAATTTCTTTAATATACTTCTTGCTGAGTCTGGCAGAAGGAGTATAAGCTTCATTTTGTGCACTCAATTGATAGTAATTTATCTACGTTACTGTCAAAATTTGAGAGAGTAATTTTAGACAAATTGTGTGGCATTTGGGAAATGATGCCAATTTCATTCTCTAATTAAGTTACTTTTATTTATACCTTTGCTTCAAAAGTGTAATTTCTTTAATTCTTCCCCTACATACACGTGTAATGTCAGCTATTCTGTACTTAAGGAAATGTTTGCTTCTAGCAAGTTCTGAAGTTACCTAGCTCTGCATTAGGAAGATGTTCTATAAAAGCCAGTGTCCACCTGCTGAAGTAGTTCACTTAGGGCAAATTACTCTTGGATTTTGAATTCAGATTCTAAAGTTTTCCCCTGCTCCTCTCAGCATTTATTTTAAGTTTGGCTCCTGTAACTTTGGGATAACTGTGCCAATGGCCATGACTCTTCCCCTCCCTTTCCAACGAAGGTCCAATTTGGCATAAGAGCAGGGCAAGGAGTGGCATCACGAAAATTAAGGCAGGGAGGAACAGATTCTATGGGTAGCAGTCACAACTTGACACTTGAAAATTCTACAGAAAAGTTGTGGTATCTAGGATTACTTGAGACAAGGGTTGAAGATTTCTTACATGTTATGGGTTAAATCCTATGCCACACTAGCAAACATTCCTCTCTCCTCCCCCCTCCCCCAGCATTCCTCCATATTTCCCCCAGATCTGCTATATGATGTGCCTAGCCCTCTGGCACAAATTTTAAGGGTGAGGGGGCTAGAGACTGAGAGGGGGAATTGCCTCTTCCAGTTCCATTGTTGGAGCTGCTTCCATTAGCTGAATGACAATGTAGGGTACAAGCCTGTGGGAGAGAAAAAATAACGGTTGCCCAAGCAACTTAACTGAAAAGCAAGGAATTTGCAGGTTTCCCACTCCTTCTATCGGACATTTTCTAATAGGTTACAGATTGACTCGATAAAGGAAAGAAGCCATAGCCTTGTATTTAGAACAACTAAGCAGGGATATCATGGATAGGACATTTTGGAGGGCTTTCAGTCATAGGGCTGCCGGAAGCCAGAGATAACACGTAACAACAACTATGGTCCTTGAGATCATGATTATAATGGTTTTTCTTCTTACTGTAAATAGAAGGGAGGAGTGAAACCATATAAAATGCAGGAGGACTGTTTAATACATTTCCCTTGGCAAATTATAAAGCAAGGGAAAATTTCACAGTAAAATATCTGCACTATATTAACCTATTTAGGTTGATATTTCACCCAGAAGACCAACTTTCGTTAATCGTATATTATTTTCAAAGAATTGTTTATAGATGGCAATCATCTATTGCAATCTTACAATCATCAGGAAAACAGTTCTGATTTTAAATATGAAGTCTGGCATTAGTGTTTCTGCCAGTGAAGAAATTATGTAGCTTTCCTAGCATTAGAACCAAATATAATTTTGTAGAACAATGATCTCTACTACAAAACAACTTCCTACATCAGTTATTTTCTCTAATAAGGAATGTTAAATTTTCTGCACTTAGATCTAGTTGGCACTGTTCTAAAGTAAGACTACTATAATATGTTTACTTATACTTTGCAATGGATTTAGACAAGCTTCAGGCAAGTTGTAATCCATAGGGTTTTTGTGTAAACTTGAAAATATTTTCTAGCCCTCTTTCTCCTTTAATGTTTCAGTGCTGTCAGCTGCCCCTATTCTGAAGTAAATCTGAACAAGGAGCATATCTTTTCAGACCGTTTAAGTGGAGGGATGCCTCTGAATAATCCACCTACACATTGGAACAGGAAGCCAGAAGTAAATGAAAGATCAGACTCTCCTGTAATCAAGTAATTATGAGCCTAACAGTATAGCTGCTCTTCATTAGACAGCTCACCATGTCTTGAAGGTTCAGTTGTAAATGTTCTATCCATTTCAGGGGTATATTGGCAACTCATTGAAAAGTTATTTGCATGAGAAGCTAGCCATATCGATTGCTAACATGTAATATTTATGTTAGCAGTATAACATAGCAGAAAAGACAGATGTCCTCAGATATTTGATTGTATATGAGGAGTATTCTACATTACTATATTTTTGGAATAATTATAAGCATTTTGCATGTATGATCTCATTCTAATGCTTGGCTTCCTACAGAAAACAATAGCAGTATTATGTGCCTTCCAGAAATGTTGCTTCAGTCAATGAAGTAATGCATACTCTGTTGTTTGATGCTGCTTAACTGTTGTAGTTTCTCCTAAAACAGGGAGTTTTAATCTGGGCAGTGTGCTGAGATTTCTGTGTTACATATTCCCAGCTCCTTCCTGGAACTAAAAATGTGCAAGTTCTATCTACACTGTTGATACAGTGTGAGAAGAGTGTCACAATGCTGTTTCTGCCTGAACTGGCTTCTGATGCTAGCTCTCAAAGCACCATGACTATGAGTAGGCTGGGCTTAAGCAAGAATCGGTAGTTATCTATTTGTTGGCATTGTATTTCAGAGGATGAGGTGAACTAGACATCCAGCTAAATCATTGCTTATATTAATATTGTGGATATGCAAAAGATTTATTATATCTATATCGTGTATGTGAAAATAATATATAAATAATACAAAGCCAGCAATATTTCATAACAAAATTTCAATTCATATTATATAATGATGAGAAGCTATCTGTGAAGCAGGATTTTGTTATCTGTGGCAGGCAAAAAGGGAAATGGAAAGAAAGTTACAGCAAGCCAAAAGCAGCATGCAGTCACTGGGAGAAGATATGTGCAGGAGGACTGAGGGGGTGGAGGTGGTCAAGAACCCATGGTGAGCTTGATTGTTGGTTAGACTTACTGCAGAACAGCCAACATGCTGTGGCTTATTGCCAAGATAGGTTGGTGTGACATGTGAATGTGCCCCATACATTCTTGTTCCATGGTGTTTGCTTCTGCGGTCAAGTTTTACGTAAATGCAGGCTTCTGAAAGCTTGTTTTTTTTATTTTTAAACAGCAGTAGAAAATGTTCAAGTCCCAGCCGCACTGACCTTAAGCCTTCAGTTCATCTCCATTCATCAGACACCGATGAGAAACCTCTCTGCAAAAATCCTTTAATGTGTGATGTCAAAGAAAAGACCTACAGGTATTTTTCAGATATGCTTAAACTAAAGAGTGCTCTGGTTCTTAATCCTTATAATCCTGGTACGAATAATTGCTTTGCTGAATTAAGTGCTTTGTTCAGGCTTCTTAATTGTTAAATATATGGTATCGTAAACGATACTCTCTACTAATCCATTAGTTAAAATCCTGGAGGATTCATGAAAATGTGCTGTAGCACTTACAAATGAGTATGGTTTTGCTCATAAGATACTCAAATGACTCAAGTTTGGGAATTAGAAATAATTACTTCTGTTTGACAAATATGTACTTAAATAAACCTGTTTAAATGCCAGTTGTATCTCCTCCCCCAATTCTCTGAAATTTGTGTATATGCTTCTCAGCACAACACTTAGCTTAAGAAAACCGTCATCTTCTTAATGCTAATTCCTAGGTGGCAGGGAGGTAGGACAGTTTCATGGAGATCAAAGTTGGGCAGGGAAGGTTTAATGTCCCTTTTCCATCTATTGCAATCTGAATGCCAATGCACCCCCGATCATGATTTAATTAAAAGAAATACCCCCAGGTGATTACTAACAGCATTGTTAATATAATTTTAGATAGGCCATAGCTTAGTGTATATTGATTTTGCAAGGTGTTTGGTGTTGACCAAATGGTCTGTGTCTTGGTGTGTGTATGGCCATAAGACACAACAGGGGAAGGTTTTCTTTTAAAGGATTTATTCTCAAGAATAACCAGCCAGCAATGAATCATCCCAGATGGCACACCTGAGTGGTCCTCAGTTGGCCCTTTTAAACATTGACCATTAAAGGGTTACATGTAACACAGTTCACACTTTCTAATAAGATACAGAAGTAAAAAGTCACATGATCTTTCCAGCCTGCATTCCAGAGAGAAGAAAGAGTCTTCTGAGGAGGGGAGGATGATGGGGTGTTATTCTAAGGAGGAGGAGAAGGAAGAGGAAGGGTGGTGTGAATTACCCTTGTTCAGGCTGTTATCTGTTAAGTGTCAGCTTGGTGTTTCTGGAATGGTGCCTGGCTAGTGTCAGATATATTTGAAGAATGCACACATGCTTATGTCTAAAGAAAAGGATTCTTTTTCTGGTCCAGCTATATTTTGATCATATCTGTGTAGGTTATACCTAATTATTCATGCATCATTGGGGTCCATGTGTGGAAGCTTGCTGCCACATCATATCTTCCCTTTGGAGTTTCCATGTGCAAGCATGTGGGGTTTTTGTCCTGATAAAAGTGTTACTGTTTACCAGGAGAGCCATGTTCAAGGTAACTCTTTGGTCCCCTTCCCTCAGGTGCAAGTGATAAATACCTGACTGAATAAGAGCATCATAATAAAGAAAGGTGTTGAAGTCTACAAATGAGCACAGTGACTCCAGTGTCTTGTTTAATGCTGGATATTCTAAAATCAAGACTCACTTGTCTGTCCACAGTTCACTTGTCAAGTTTCTTTCTATTGAATAATGGAAATCAAAGACAGTTAGTTGAGTTACCAGCCACACTGCTACCTTGGGTTGAGTTGCTATAGAAACTAGAATGCTGCACCTGACATCAGCCCTGCAAAGCATTGTAATAAAGCATTGTATCAGTGTCCCTGTGTATATGTGACACATTTTTGACTAGTAATTTTTGAACATGGTATTTGCATTAAGCATGCGATTACCAGGTTTTAATTGCACTAATCAATATATTTTGTCAAGAGAATACGATGGTCATAGCAAACACTCTCTTCCAACAACCCAAGAGACGACTCTACACATGGACATCACCAGACTGTCAACACAGAAGTCAGATTGACTATGTGCTCTGCAGCCAAAGAGAGAGAAGCTCTATACAGTCAGTAAAAACTAGACCAGGAGCTGACTGTGGCTCAGATCATGAGCTTCTTGTTGCAAAATTTAGGCTTAAATTGAAGAAAGTAGGGAAAAGTACTAGGCCACTCAGGTATGACCTAAATCATATCCCTGATGAATATACAGTAGAGGTGACAAATAGATTTAAGGAATTAGATCTGATAGACAGAGTGCCTGAAGAACTATGGACGGAGGATCACAACATTGTACAAGAGTTAGCAACTAAAACCATCCCAAAAAAAGAAATGCAAGAAAGCAAAATGGCCGTCTGAGGACGCTTCCCAAATAGCTGAGGAAAGAAGGGAAGCAAAAGGCAAGGGAGAAAAGGAAATATACACCCAATGCAGAATTCCAGCAAATAGCTAGAAGAGAGAAGAATGCCTTCTTAAATGAACAGTGCAAAGAAATAGAAGAAAACAATAGAATAGGGAGGACCAGAGATCTCTTCAAGAAAATTGGAGATATGAAGGGAACATTTCATGCAAAGATGGGCATGATAAAGGACCAAAATGGCAGGGACCTAACAGAGGCAGAAGAGATTAAGAAGAGATGGCAAGATTACACAGAGGAACTATATAAGAAAGAGCTTAACGTCCCTGATAACCATGATGGGGTGGTCACTGACCTCGAGTTGGACATCCTGGAATGTGAAGTCAAATGGGCCTTAGGAAGTCTGAGCAGCAACAGAGCTAGTGGAGGTGACAGTATTCCAGCTGAGCTATTCAAAATCTTAAAAGACGATGCAGTAAAAGTGCTACACTCAATATGTCAGCAAATTTGGAAAACTCAACAGTGGCCACAGGATTGGAAAAGGTCAGTTTACATTCCGATCCCAAAGAAGGGCAATGCCAAAGAATGTTCAAACTACCGTACCATTGCACTCATTTCACATGCTAGCAAAGTGATGCTCAAAATCCTACAAGCTAGGCTCCAGCAGTATGTGGACCGAGAACTACCAGAAGTACAGGGAGGATTTCGAAGAGGGAGAGGAACTAGAGATCAAATTGCCAACATACGCTGCATCATGGAGAAAGCTAGGGAGTTCCAGAAAAACATCTACTTCAGCTTCATTGACTATGCTAAAGCCTTTGATTGTGTGGATCACAACAAATTGTGGCAAGTTCTTAAAGAGATGGGAGTACCAGACCATCTTATTTGTCTCTTGAGAAACCTATATGCTGGACAAGAAGCAACAGTGAGAACTGGACATGGAACCACTGATGGGTTCAAAATTGAGAAAGGAGTTCGGCAAGGCTGTATACTGTCGCCCTGCCTATTTAACTTAAATGCAGAGCATATCATGAAAAAGGCAGGGCTGGATGAATCACCAGTTGGAATTAAGATTGCCGGGAGAAATATCAACAACCTCAGATATGCAGATGATACCACTCTCATGGCAGAAAGTGAAGAGGAACTAAAGAACCTCTTGATGCAGGTGAAGGAGGAGAGTGCAAAAGTTGGCTTGAAACTCAACATTAAGAAAACTAAGATCATGGCATCTGATCCTCTCACTTCCGGGCAAATAGATGGGGAAGAAATGGAAGTAGTGACAGATTTTATTTTTCTGGGCTCCAAGATCACCGCAGACGGGGACTGCAGCGAAGAAATTAAGAGATGCTTGCTCCTGGGGAGGAAAGCTATGGCAAATCTAGACAGCATACTAAAAAGCAGTGACATCACCCTGCCAACAAAAGTGCATGTAGTCAAGGCTATGGTATTCCCCGTTGCAATGTATGGCTTTGAAAATTGGATCACAAGGAAGGCTGAGCGCCGAAGAATTGAGGCCTTTGAATTGTGGTGCTGGAGGAGACTCCTGCGAGTCCCTTGGACCATAAGGCAATCCAACCAGTCAGTGCTAGAGGAGACCAACCCTGACTGCTCTTTAGAAGGCCAGATACTGAAGATGAAACTCAAATACTTTGGCCACCTAATGAGAAGGAAGGACTCCCTGTAGAAGAGCCTAATGCTGGGAACAATAGATGGCAAAAGAAGAAGGGGACGGCAGAGAATGAGGTGGCTAGATGGAGTCACTGAAGCAGTTGATGTGAGCTTAAGTGGACTCCGGGGGATGGTGGAAGACAGGAAGGCCTGGAGGAATATTCTCCATGGGGTCGCGAGGGGTCGGACAGGACTTCACAACTAACAACAACAACAGCAATCAATATATTGAACCAAGTCTAACTCATGAAACATAATGCTGTACCTTTGGAAGTTTATACTCATTGTTTTAACAGAGCTGGCACCAAGTTTATACTGCCCACCTGAGTAATTTGGAGAACCCTTCCCCATCTTTGTATTTCTTTCCTTTCAAGTTTACACTAAACCAATAAACATACCAAAATTTACAACTTTGACTTCAGCATTACATTTCTGAAAGTGTTTAGCAAGTAATCCCTTCTTTTTGCTATAGCACAGCTCTTCTCTTTATTACTTTGTGATTGAATTTGTCTAGTGGTCATGACATTGTATAACAAATTGTGTTATAGACTGCCATAGTTTGCTATGATGCAGTTAAAAGAAACTAGTCATATAAACTTTTTTTAAACCAACAAAAAGTTTGTGAATACTTTTGTTAACAATTTTTTGTTCCTGAAGTATTCAGGTTTTATGAAATTCATACAGAACCTACAAAAGCTATATTGCCAGTTTCTATGAATATGATTTCCATGAATTATTCCTTTACAGTCTATCACAATAGCCTCACTCTAACAGTGACCGACAGCAGTCAAAGCTACTGGCTCATATGAGTCAGATAAAAGAAATCCTCTTTTCACAGAGCTCTAATTCTAGTCTGGTCTACATGCATCACACATATGGGCCCTACACCTCCATGAAGCCTTGATTTTGGTAGGATCCCTGCCCCTCTCTCTCAGTGCACATAACCTTAGTGGATTCCTGCTTAATCCCTTGTTTCCTGTTTTACTGGCATTGTGGTTGCCTTGTAAGGAACTTCTTTTTCTCATTATTGAGAATCATTTCTTGTGAGAAAACAAGTTTTTATTCCAAATGTTTTCCTATGCGAAAACATTGGGTCACCCTGCAATGACCTCTTAGACAATCAATGCAAGTTGACTAAAGTTTTCCAGACAGAGGCATTCCGTCTTTCCAGGAAGCACCTTGAGGCACCAAGCAGATTGCAGTGCTAGGACTATAGCAGT